AATACCAGAACATTTTCAAATATTAAAATATTGAGATAAAGTTTTAAAATTTTTTAATTGTAACTTAGTTTTTTGAAATTATTTTTGAATCCAAACAAACTGGCCCAAATCTCTAAAGAGATTTAAAATACAAAATATATTTTCAAAATTAAATTTAGAGATAAAACTTTAAAATTTTTAATTGTAACTTAGTTTTCAAAATTATTTTGAATTACAAACCAAACTGGCCAAATCTCATAGAGAGAATTTAAACATGAAATCAGGAGATTTGTTCAAATCCTGATAACTTTTTATTTCAATCTCTTAAACTAGATAAGACTTAGATACCTCTTAATTGATATATTCCAATCTAGAAATCCTACCTCCTACAAGCGGTGAATAGATATTATCATTCCTAGCTTGGAAACTAGATTACAAACAACTATCTAGGCAGTCTCTTTTGAACAATTGACCTGCTTCGAACTGTTTTTCACAGTATGCCGTGATCATCAATAAACGTAATGAACCACTTAGACCCTACAATATTTGTAACTCTAGATGGCCTTCAAATATTACTATGAATTGTTAAAAGAGCCTAGAACTCTTATATTTATGAGCTAGATAAATAGACTTGGTGTATTTTGCAAGTTGACAAGTTTCACACTTAAAAGAAAATAAACTTTTATTTCTGAATAACAATGGGTACAATTTTCGTAAATAAGGAAAGTTAGGGTGTCCTAGTCTACTCTTATTTCAACCTATTGGGTTTCAAAAAATAATCCACTACCTATGGCTTAAATGTAATTGCTTCATATATGCCATAATTTCATCAGAGTATCAGTAACTCCAAAGTTTAAAGTTAAAAAAATAAACGTCGTGGATTTTCGACTAGCATGACCCCTAGAGATACTGTCATATATCATTTACGTATGATTTGGAAAAATTATTCAAAATGACATATTAAACCATTGTGATTCTGGTGCCTGAGTAACAGGTTGACCTATTGCAAGGCTACTCTCTAAAAATATTCTCAGCTGCAGAGCATGATTCTATATTAAGAGCTCAAAAGATCTCCATAAATTGCCCTACTTGATAAACAACATTTTAACAACCTTAACTTAAGCCACTTGTCTAGTTTCAACGTCCATTAGCTGCAAAAAGACAATAAAGAAAGAAATGTTTGCATTGCAGATGACAAATATCAATTGATTGAATAAAGCTGCATCATATACTACTAAAAGCAACAATTTAAAAAAAAAAATTAGGGAAAAACCAGTTTAGAAAAATTCAAATTCAAATTGTCTCCATAAATCAATCTAGTATAATAGAAAGCAAGTAATGTAAAAGAATTATACCTCTGAAGTTGTCCCACTAAATCATTTACTGTAGCATCTCCTATAGATGGACCTAGCTTCATTTAAATGTCCCAATTCAATTTCTATAGCTATATACCCTTGCCAGGCTTCCAACATTGACCTGCTGCATAGACAAAAGCAAGTTATATGGAAAAAAAACAAAGATGAATCATAAATTAATCATATTGAACTATATAGGATAAGAAAAAGAAAATGATGAATGGGCCAAGCCAGATCTTAACCAGGCTCTCCTAAACACCCAGAGCAATGACCAAATTTAGCTCCAAACGAGCCTAATAAGCATACAAATGCAGCAAACCATCTGTATTCTTCATCTACTGAGATAAGTAATATGATGCGTGCTGAAAGGAAGAATTTGTACAGTTAAGTATTCAAGTATATAATACATCCAATCATACAAAGCCTACAATTTTGATCGTACACTAAAGAGACATCAGGCTAATTATTTATAAACACAAATATTGAAGACAGGCATTACACAACAACGATGTACCAGTTGAAAATGACATGCCAATTTTATAAATTCATAGATCCATAAAGATATCTTTCGTGCATGAAACTCCAATGCTGAATGAGAATTTTTTTAGCAAAGGACACTATTCCATGACAAAACAATTAACAAACGTAATAATCTAGAAATTAGCAAAATCCATCTTGGAGTACTTAGAGTTATGCACTATAATTTCTACATAAAGTGGTCATAATGGTACTATAACAGCACACTAAATGAAGTAAATTAATAGACTTTTCTTTGAAGTCTAACGGTAGAAGCACTTGATATGCATTTGTAAGAGATCTATGCTTGGACCCTTAAAGAGTAGACTAGCTACAAGGTCCACATTTTCTTCATCCAAAATTCACCATGAATAGAGCATCTACAAATGTTTTGAGAAGCTTCAAGTTCTTGACATCGAGTAAAAACAATTTTAACAAGGAAAAATGAACAGTATACATATGCGAACCTGAAAGGTTTCCCTTATCAATGGAAAATTCAGTTCATCCTCTTCTACTCTAGGCAAAAGGATTCTTCGTCTCAAACCATCCACTCGAGTGAGGAATAAGTTTAGGTACTGAAACAAAGAGGGCCCAATTAACAAAGATCTTTAATGCATAAAATGTAGATGAAACAATAACAAGTTACAAAGAGCAGTAAGTCAAGCCTGCAAATTAGAGAAAAGAATATCTTTACCTCCTCAATGGTCGAAAAAGTCCATAGAAGGGACTTCTCAAAGACCTGAATATGATATGAAAATCTTTTTAAACAACAAGAGTAAACCTCTATATTTGTAAAAGGAGCTGAATGAAATTCCAACACTAAAGTTTGTGAAACTTCATTGCTCTTAAGCTACTTATAACCATCTCTCATAATTTTCAACAGATGAAGGGTAACAACTGAAACTTATAGTAGATATCTCTTTCTCAGGTGCACGGCAACGTTCCAAAGCGAGCAAAGACCAAACCCAAAGATCACCAACCCAAGGACAATTTTTCCTAGCCATGGAATGAACATCCCGCACAATATTTCCTACCTGAAGGGAAAAAGAGATGACTAATTGCTAAAATTACAAATACCTAAAACATAAAGAATTGAAAAGAGAAAATATGAGTGAAATGATAATCCTAGGATTACACTATTTTATCTAGGCTTTTTGGCCGGATTTTGGATACTTCTTCTTTCGTTTGTGCCTGAATTGCAACTTAATTTCATATATTTTATGTTTCAGGCCAAAACGTGTAGTTAGAGCAAAGACTGAGTAGAATTGAGTTTCTGGACCCAGAAGCAAGTGAATCTTAGGATTTGGGGAAGTTCTGATGTGGATTCGAAGCACTATGAAGTTTGTTCCTATTGGAGATCACTAAAGATTGAAGATTCGAGCAAGGAAGCAAGCGGAAGGCAGTGTCATAATTTCAGAATAGCTCAAAAAAGTTTTTCTTGGCGATAAACTCTCAAGTCAGATAGTGAATTAGAAGCCAACTCGAATCTTCGTCGTGGTGAAGTCTGAAATTTCCAGTTATTAAAACTGTGCATTTTAATTGTTTTACGAGAGTCTTAGGGTTGAGGGATTGACTATATGAGTGGGACTTACTCATTTCAGAGGGAGTTCAACTTTGTTTGGAGAAAGAAGAGAGAAATTGAAGATTAGAAGCCTTTGGGTTCATCAATAGGGAAGAATTTACTCTCTTTTCATTATTCCATCATGTTGTATTATTTGTTTACAGATTTTATTTTGATTTGCTTTAATTTTAGTATGAACTAACTCACTTTTGGGTTAGGGTTTTGATGTAATTGGGGTTTGAATGTCTAATCAATAAATTGATGTTGCTTTTACATTCTATTGCATGGATTTTGTAATTACTCTTGTTTTTATTGAAATTTCTTGTGGAGCATGATGAGACTGAGAAGTGAATCATGTATTAGCCTCTTAGGGTAAATGCCATTGATTGATTGAACGCTAGAGATAGGTTTGAGAATCAATGAAATCAATTTAGGATTCCATTTAGCTTAACGAACTTGGAACTATTAACCTTCAATTTGTTGGGTGCGGAAGCTTAATAGGGATAAGTAGGAGAACTTAGCTTGAGAAGGTATGTTTAACATGTTAGGGTGTTCGATTTATAATCCGTGCATGTGACTATAGAAGTAACAGAAATTGTAGATCAGTTCATAAAATCCTAGTGAAGTCAAAAGCCTAACCGCTTTGTTTTAATTGATATTTCTCTTGAATTGATTTTGCCATCTTTAATTAGCTTTTAATTAACGTAGTGGATTTTGTTGCAACTTTAGCTAGATTTTTCTCCCGCAAATCCAAACATCTTTCGATTTCTCCAACCTGATAAACAACTAGGAAAATCAGTGCTTAACACGTAATCCTCGTGGGAACGATACTCTACTTATCACTTTATTACTCTTTACGACTAGTGCACTTGCTACACATTGCATGTTGTATTTTCAACGCATCATGAAACCTTCAAGGTTTTATCCAAATAGCAAGTATAATCAAGCTAGAGATCACTTGATATAGGAAACTCAATAATAGCACGTTCATAGAGAAGTTGAACACAGGCTGGATCTCCATAAGACTATTGAAACTTCAAGTAGATTTGCAAAAATTTCAAATTAAAATAATAGTATTAACACTTTAAATAAGGGAAAAAAAAAAACCTATTGCCACATTGCAAGTTCTTATGCAACCTCCTACGCTTAGGAAAAGAAGAAGAAGAAGAAGAGAGGATCTAAAGTTTACATAAACTGATTACTTATATTAGAAGAAAGAAAGACCACAGAAATTGAAATTATAATGAAATTTTAATAGCAAATTTGTTGATAAACAACTTGACCTAAAAGCTTAAGCTTGAAAAGGTAAGGGCAGAACAATGGTATTAGGCTTTGTAACGGGCATCTTCACGTGTTACGTAAACCAATCTGAAATTTAGACAAAAAGACCAACCCAAGTATAGTAGTATGTAATAGATGGGAGACTCAAATCATGACCTCTACTTTAATATCATATTAAGTTACCATTTAACCTAAATGCTTAAGGTATCATGTAAGAGCCCAACATTATCATTTAGCTATCTAAAACAATATTTGATAGTAAATGCCATATATCATGAATTGTTGAAATATTTCAGAGACAGTATATCCTACCTTGCAATCCGTTCTTCAAAATCAGCTTGAGCATTATACATCTCCAATGCCTTTTCATACGCTGTGGCAACAGTAGAAGGAATCCCATCTAAATCACCTGATTCAACATCTAGAGCAGTCACCAGGTCCACCTCCCAAGACTTGTAGGTGAGAAGGGTTGACCTTACGTTAGCAAGGGGAATGGACAACTGACGGTGAAATACACTTCGAATGCGCTGAACTGTTTTTCTTTTTCCTACGAAACAGTAGTAATTTTTTAAATGTAAATTTTGAAACAGATACTTTTTCTGGTACATAACACTTCATAGGGAAATGAAAGAACAAAATTTATGAACTATACATAATGACAAAAAGAAGAAAAAATGGTTTCTAAAATAAACAGGGCACGCAACTTGAGCCATGGTTCTAGGAAATATAAAGGAAGACCCACAAAAGCGTTATTACCCATAATACCAAACCACTAGGATGGAATAAGACTTTAAATAATCAAGTAAATTGATTAATAGAATGCTTCCCCTTTAGGCACATATTCTAACAAGTTTCTAATATATATATTAGAAATTATGACCTTAATGTTGGTCTCATCTATCGTATGGATAATGGCTTGCTCAAATTCCCTGTATGCTTCCCATATTTTATCGCCTTCAGCAACATGCACACCAGCAGCAGTTATAGCATGCTCGAAAGATTTCTTCCCTTTGCAATACCATCAGGTGAAAATTCACGTACATATGGATCATATTCTTGCACAAATCTCAAGCAGTCACACCAAAGTGAGACAGACTGCACCAAAACAAGTTCTAGTCGTTCAATTTTAAAGTACTTAGCTAAAGGAACTCCAAAGAACGGAATTAATATTTTTATCCCCTGATTCCACATATATGAAAATTTTGATTGAAAGTAGCAAGAACTTTATTTCCCACAAAAAGTAGGGAAAAAGATGACAACATGCAATTAAAATTCCCATGAAGTTTGAAAAACTTTATCTTATCGCCTAATTTGGTAGAAAAATTTGATGATGCATCAAAAAGGAACCATGTGTCTTTAAACACCATCACAAATGTAAGAATATTGATATCCATTCTGAATTGCAAGGCCTACAATCATCTTTACCATACAAATGAAACTAATGAACCATTTTGCCATTAGTATTTACTTATTGGAAAGAGCTGGCTAAATTTCTTGAGAAGTTTCTAGAGGAATTTTCCTTAGGGGTAAAGTGAACATTCTAGCCCTAATTAGCAGGATGAGTGAAAAGTAAGAAAATATCATGGAGAATGCATTGGAGATGGGGGTGTATTTGTAAAGAATCAAAGGGCAAAGATGGAATTTTTAAGGAAGTGCAAGGGCAAAATGGGAAAGAATGTGTATTTATATGAGGTAGTAAGGGTTTAGTCTTACAAACCCTCTCATTCTCTACACCCACACACCATTTCCACTCTCCATTCTTCTCATCTTTTCATCAAATTTTCTAAGGGAATTAGAGGGCTTTTCATGGGATTTTGGTAGAGATTTAATCCTAAGCATCATGAGATTAATTTGTGTTAGTGTTTAATTCTTATAAAGTTTATACTTAGGGTTTAGAGAAAGAACAAGTCTACCAAAGAAGAGAGATCTTAGTGGAATTACTCAAGCACAAGGTGAGTAAATCCAATCCTAACCCTTATTTGAGCAATAAAAGTGTAGAGATTGTTTTATATGAATCTTATATGAATTTTATATGCTTGAGATTTGTGGATGGAATTTGTTGTTGAGTTAATGATGATCCATAATTGGATTTCCACCATGAGAAGGGCTGGTTGTGTTGATAGAATTTGATAAAAGTTGGGTTGAATCTAGAAAGAGTTTAAGTAGATTTATGAAGTGTATTTTCTTGGCCAGGATTAGTGATGATTTAAGGGAGTGTTACTCCAATTATTGGTAGTTTGAGAAAGAAGTAGAAATATACCCAAAATAGAATTTGAGTATGCATGCATGTTGTTTGATGAAATGCCTAAAAGAAATGTATGCATGAGTAGAGCAAACTTATTTTTGTGCTACATGGCATTTTTGCATTACATATTTGCACTTAGAAAGAATTATAAGCATGAGCCATCCACATGCATACATATGCATATGTATGAGCATATAAAGAATAAAGAAAGAAAAAAAATTAAAGAGAAAGAAAGAACAGCACTAAAGAATTAAAGAAAGAAAAGTGCTAAGGAAGAGAAAAGAACAGGTTGTTGCGATGGGGAACCCGTGGGTGACAAGAAGAAGAAATTCCCACATACACACCACCTTAAGTGAGCGGCCTAAGAAGAAGAAGAAGAATTTGTACTGCCCGTAAGAGTGTATGTGGATGAAGGCTGTACCAAGAAGAAATTCCTACATGCACGCCACCTTAATTGAGTGGCCTAAGAAGAAGAAAGAATTTGTACAATCCGCAAGAGTGTATGTAGATGAGGATTGTACTCACTCACACGGCCAGGGTTCCGAATCCATGCATCAACCGAGTCCAATCAGCAAAGAATAAGAAAGTATAAGAAGGAATGAGCAAGCAAGAAAGAAAAGAAGAAAAGAAAAGAAAGAAAAGAAGAAAAGAAAAGAAAGAAAAGAAGAAAAGAAAAGAAAAGAAAAGAATAGAAAGAAAGAAAAGAGAAGAAATAGAAAGAAAGAAGCATCAAACAGAGAAAGAAATAGAATAAGAAATAGAAAAGAAGAAAGAAAATGCATCTCTATGCATTTATGCATTGCATCTCATCCATCCATGTTACCATGATTCCTATCATGGTTAGTCTGAGATAAGAAAGAAAGAACGAAAGAACAAAGAGAAGTAGAAAGAAAGAAAGAACCAAGAAAGTTAGAATGAAAGAATAGTGAGAACTAGAAACAACGAAAGAAAAGAGAAAGAATAAAAAGAGAATGAAGAAGAAGAAAAAGAGTAAAGTAAGGAAAGAATTCAAAGACTGAGCAATGGAGAGAGGGAATAGAAGAGTAGAGGATTTACTTACTGAGCAATTAGTGCTCACCTCGTTGTTTCTCCATGTTTTGTAGGAAATAGGTGAGAAGCGGTCGGATGGACGTCGAGAAGCAAAGAGGAATGGCACTACTGTCCACCATTATTAAAGTTATTGTATATATTATTTTGTGTTATGTAAAGAATCATATATTAAGTAAAGAAAAAATTTTAGGCCCATTACTTTTCATTTGATACTTATGTATGTTTATCATAGTATATTTTTCAAGTATACTAATTAGAAATAAGCTATTACATTTTTGGTATTAGAGCAAAGATTTTGGGATTTGATAGTGTGCCACTCTCATCGCATTGACGTTCCGTTGCCGATCGTTGTAAGTTAATTCTTTCCTTACTTAAAGTAGTAAATGAGTTATTTGAGTTGATTGAAGTGTGGTTGTCTTGTAGATGAGACGTAAAACCCGAGCAAGTAGTAAGAAGACAATGAGTATGGGGGAACCTTCTAACCCGCCAGAACCTACTCCCCCAACCCTTGATAAAGCCAGAATCTAAGGTATTATACAACAAATTTTAGTAGAAAGTCAGGGCAGAGTTGTACTCAAAAGAATTGAAACCCCCATTCAAGTACCAACCACCAGAGAAGAAAGTGAAAGGTCAGTACCTACAGAATCGGATTGAGCTGATATATGGGCTCCCAAGCCAACATCAGCTGTCGGAATTTAGAGGTGCAATAGACCATTTAGTGGTAGAAGAATGGTTTACGTCCGTAAAGTGCACGATGGCACTGTTTTCTATGGCAGATCGGGAGAAGATCCAGTATGCTAGTTTTCTTTTTCGGGGTGATGCCTAGATTGGGTGGGAGTTAATGGAAGATACCCATGATATAGATGTGATGACGTGGGGAGAGTTCAGAAGATTATTTGAGGCTGAGTATAGAACAGTTGACCGAGTTCATGAGAAGATCCAAGAGTTTATTAGTTTGAAGCAAGGATCTGGTACAATGAAAGAGTATTCGGTGAAATTTAAATCCCTTGCACAGTTTGCACCCGGAATAGTGAATACACTGGAGTTAAGAAAAGATAAGTTTGTTCATGGGTTGAAGCCGGAGATAACCCAGGATGTAATGGCAGGAGTAGAGCCCCTCGATCATATAGTGAAGCTTTAAAGCGGGCTTTAAGGGCAGAGATATTTGTAAATAAGCTCACTCCAGTAGGTACATCAATAACGAGACCGAGTGAACCTCCCATTCCACGGAGAGAAAGAATTGATGTTGCAAGAAATAAAGAAATGAGGAATAAGAAGAAATTTCAACCCAAGAAGAACAGAAAAGATTGGTAGAGTAAACAGCCAAGAACAGCGGAGTTTCCCCCATGTCCAAAGTGTGGCCCATGTCCAAAGTGTGGTAGAACTCATCCAGGAGAGTGTCTGAGACAATTAGGCTTGAATGTTTGTTATCGGTGTCGACAGCCAGGACACTTGATGAAAGATTATAGAGTTCCTCTTCCACCTACAGCACAGACTTCCAGAGGCACTAATGATAGGGTGTTTATAGTGGCACAGGGTGAAGCAAAGGCCAGTCCATCAACTGTTACTGGTCAGTTGCTATTTCATATAGTTCCTTTATATGCTTTGATTGATTTTGGAGCCACTCATTCATTTATTACTCATGGGATGATAGAAAGATTAGGTCTGAAACCTGTTGTAGTAGACCAACCCATTAAGATAGAGTTACCTAATGGGGTTAGTGTGGTGACCCATAAGATGCTTTTAAGAGAGTCTGTAATGATCCATGGAGGGGAGTTAGATGTTGATTTAATAGTGTTCAATATGCCCAACTTTGATGTGATCTTAGGCATGGATTTCCTAGGGAGGTATGGAGTAGAAAATGACTGTCGGAAGAAGAAAGCAGGATTCAATCTTGATAATGGAGATAAGTTTAGTTTTGGAGAGGGCCATCAGTTGAGTATGTTGATTAGTAGTGTAAAGGCCAAAAAGATGTTAAGAAAAGGGTGTTCTGGGTGCATTGCCCATGGGGTGCAAAGTAGTTACGTCCCACAACCAGAGATTCAGAATGTGCCAGTAGTCCGAGAATTTTTAGATATGTTTTCGAAAGATTTGTCGGGTTTACCTCCGGAAAGAGAAGTAGAGTTTAGTATTGAACTGGCACTAGGGACAGCATCGATTTCTAAAGCCCCTTACCGAATGGCCCCAACTGAGCTTCAGGAATTGAAGAAGCAACTCCAAGAACTCCTAGATAAAGTTTTTATCCAACATAGTCATTCTCCCTGGGGAGCTCTAATTTTATTTGTAAAGAAGAAAGATGGGTCATTACAGATGTGTATAGACTACAGAGAGTTAAATAAAGTGACAGTGAAGAATAGGTACCCACTACCTCGTATAGATGACTTATTTGATCAGCCGAAAGGAGCAGTAATGTTTTCAAAGATTGATTTGAGGTCGGGTTATCATCAGGAAAGAGTAGCAAAACAAGATATTGCTAAGACTGCTTTACGAACAAGATATGGGCATTATGAGCTTGTGATGATGCCCTTTGGGTTAACTAATGCCCCAGCAATCTTTATGGACTTAATGAACTGGTTGTTTCATGATTGCCTTGATCAATTCGTAGTGGTATTTATTGATGACATCCTGGTTTATTCTAAATCAAGAGAAGAGCATGAGGAACACTTAAGATTTGTGCTGTAGCAATTGAGAGGAAAGAAGTTGTTTGCCAAGATTTCTAAGTGTGAGTTTTGGCTAGATCAAGTTATATTTATGGGCCATACCGTCTCTAAAGAAGGTATATCAGTGGATCCTAGCAAAGTGAAGGCAATCCTACAATGGCAAAGGCTGAAGACAATAAAGGAGGTCAAAAGTTTCTTAGGACTAGCAAGCTACTGTCGGCGGT